ACTTTCTTCTTAGTTTGCTTTGAACGCGAGAACAGATTTCGAGAAGCTGCTAAAGCGCCAGCTTGAGCTCATAACAAAACATAAAAACTATTTTAAAGAGTTGGCAATTTTATATGAATTTGTACAATTTGATTTGTACGGGAATGCACGTTTTGTAAAAATAAAAAAAATAAAAAATAAAAAATAATAATAATAAAATAAATAAAAATAAAAATTAAGCATGAAGGTCCAGCCCTAAACCCAAACCTCAGCAGATCGTACGAAAACATATGAATGAGATCGTACGAATTTGCCACCAATTTGCCAAAACGTAAAACAGTTACGAAGTGCCATGAGAGTGTGCTAAAAAAGCCAGTTTTCCTTCCTTTGCTGATGTATTTATTTTGTTAAAAGAAGCTGAGGCTGGACATATCGAACAGTTCATCTTTTTGTAAATAAAAATAGTTTACGCCACAGTCACGTTTCCATTCTTTAGAGGATTTGATTTTGGTCAAAAGTCAGTCCAAGGTGAGCGATCAATTATCATACTCTATATTAATATTTTTGGTCCATTTTCTGTACATTTTAGTGTGTACATCTGTTTTATCCTCAAAACGAAATGCACTCATTCGTTCACTTACAGTTCAGTTCTTGCCTCCACTTCGCAGGTAGTTCACAAGCACTAATAATAGCAACTATATTAAGGTGTGAATCTACAATATATGTCATTTTTATAAAATTACTGAAATTCTGCAAACCCCTGAACGCTTTATGGTCACACACCAGAGGTCTTCGTGGCCTTGGCCCAGCATCTCAAAGCACAAGCTCGTCTTATGCAAGGTCTGATGGGTGATTTGTGTCGCTTTACTGCTGTGCACTTGGTAACCAAAGCTCTCTATAAAAAGCTTGAGGGATTTTAGCACATGTGGTGACTTCCTCTTAGCTTCCTGCTACACATACTGAGGGCAAGTAGCAATATTTAATGTGAATGCATAGCAAGCCTTCACCTTTGTGTAGCAAATTAGCTCTGTTCACAGCTCTTTTGTGAGCTTACTTTTCAGTAAGAGCTGGAATGATGCAATGCATCAAACCTAGAGCAAAAACTGCACCCCTTCAATATTTGTGGATTAGAAGGCAACCAATGCACAATTCCAACAGACCTTCTACTGATGCATGTTGTGATATATTAAATGCATTTCATTGCTATGCAATCCAAAAATGGACGTTACCTCTCTTGGCTGCTTCTGGTATTATCCTGTAGACCTTGTAAGGATCTGAGATGTCCAGCTGGCTTCTCTCCACCAGCTCATCAAAGTCATTGCTCTTGTTCAGGGCACAGCGGAGCCTCGTCTTCCATGTTGGAGGGTCTGGTTTGTCCAAGCCTTCTCTGTGCTTGCCTTTGAACAGGGCCCACGCCTACAGACCACAACACCAGCGTGAAGATGAGAAGAGATGAAGAGTGAGAGAGGAAGCAGAAGAAAATGGCCATGAAGAACTGGCTCACTTAGTAGGAACTCAGAATACTAATGCATAAAATAGTTAAAGACTCTTAAAATGGACGAGCAATGTGATTCTTGTTAATAATATGATTATTGTTAATAAGTGTGCTATTATGTAATGAATAAAATACTGTTCAGTGTGTCTGATTGACTGAATTGTCATTGCTTTTGTTTCTACTGCAACAGAACGCCAATCTATTAACATGCAATGGTCTTTCTCAGCTCAACATGAATGCATTTTCTCTGATAGGAAATCACTCCTAATAATTTATCCTACAGTAGCCTATATGATTGCAAAAATGTGCCTTAATAATAATAGGCCTAATAATAATAATAATGCATATACATTCACACAGTTGCCCCAAAAACGTATTTGTAAACGTAAGTCACTTAGAGGTGCGCGAATGTCATCGCATCAGATAACAAAATATTAAACCACGTGGCTTTTCTCGGAACAAACTGCGCTTTTCTTTATAATCTTGGCTTGATTACTCTGAATCAGGTGGTATTTCGGTGACTTTTAGGGGATGAAGTCAAGTTCACACAGGTGTCCGACAGAGGAACCACAAGTGTGGTTCAGTACAATAACTATGGCATTATCCATTAATGTTTTGCAACCACTTCTGTCTTCGTTTTCAACACTAGATCTATTGTTTGATCAGTTTCGTCAAACGTCTAGCTTGAAAAGCGTGCAGTGTTTATTTGAATAAAGGCACTTGGTTTGATAATACGAGTCCTAACGCTTTGTGGGGCCACAACACAGGTCTAAAGACACTCCGTCATTGAAAGAGTCATCAGAGGTCCACCTTCATCCTCAATCACCTTGAAGAGCGCTGCGTCCTCGTCGCGGTTGTAGTCCTGTTTCCCAGCGTGCTTCCAGGGAATCCTGAAAATGGTTTTCTCGTCATTTTCCCAAACCAAGCCGGAATACTCCCCGCTGTCAATCTGATCGATGAGCCACTGTCTAAGTTTGCCATTCCCACAACTGACTGACATGCTGCTGTCCCCATCTAAATTCATGTCTGTGAGGGAGGGAGGCATGCGAGAGCAGGTGCACATGCAGTGAGCAGAAGAGCGATTCATTTGAGTTCATGCATGCATATTCCGCAATAACACACACACATTTATAACGTCTAGTGCAGGTGCTCTTAACCGAGAGAAAATGTTGCATGAAAAGAATGCGTTCAAAGAACGAAGCTTCAACTTTTAAAGTGTACGTGCAAATCAAAATGCTACTTAAATGTAGTTTACTTTTTTTTTTTAAAGGAACAAAATATAGATAGCATATGAGTATGTAAGGGTACTCGTAGCTTATAATGCATGAAGCACAAGCATTATTAATAAACAAGCTGCATGCGTATAATAGTTTATTTTCTTTAACAGTCAAGCTCAGTTGTCACACAGATCAAGCCTCTCAAGTCTTACCTTTGTGAATGCAGACAGCTTCGCTTTCAAAGCCGACACTTCTCAAGTCATGTCAGAGGAAGGTGTTTCTACTCTTAAATAATTCAAAGCGCGTGGAGAGATGGGTGGAGCGTTACGTGGAAGCGTCTTTCTCCAGCACCATTGAGAGCTGAAGACTTCAGAGAAACGCGACACAACCGAAAGAATAAACATCCAGCATACGGGAAATCCCTGCGACACGCAAACACACACACACACACACACACGATGGAACAAATATCTGTCGATAAAATATGCCAGAAAATCGTCATCAGAGTTATCCAGGTGTTTGATGTTTGTTTGTGTCGGTTTGATTTGAGGAAATTCACAGCTGTCGATCGCAGCAGTCACGGAACAACGCGGGGTTCACTAACTTATTCTCAGACTGCGAGCGTCCCGTCAACAGGGGCCAATGTCAAAGTCTTTGCGTCTTCATGTGTTTGGAATTTCCACAGAGCCGTAAACTTTTCGGGGTCCTTTTATACCCCAAAATAATTTAAGCAAATAATAGCTTAAATACGAAACTCATCAAGTAGCCTATTTGATATCAAGTGATTTCAAATCTGTTACCAACCTCGTTCAAGTTCAACAGTGTTGAATATGCTGCCCCCTGCTGTCCGACAGAGAAATAGCATATACTACTCAGTCTACCATATTATTTTTTCCCAGGTGCACTTCCATAATGTATTTAAAGTGCTCTATTTTCACACACTAATTGTGTACTTAATTAATATTCTTTAGTACTTAAGATCATCTAAGTGTACTCAACTGTGCTATTTTGGGACACCGTGAATATATGAACTAAAATGTGCTTTTAACGTACTATCTCAGTATTTAAAAAAATGTATTTACTTACCACTTGTAGTACACTTGAACCCATCTTTCATACACTAGTACACTCAAGTGTACTAACTAAATACATTTTTTAAATACAGATAGTATGTTTAAAGCACATTTTAGTTCTTATATTCAAGGTGTCCCAAAATAGCACAGTTGAGTACACTTAGATTATTTTAGGATTATTTTAAGAAGTACCAAAGCATCATTTTTAGTATATTAATCAAGTACAGAATTAGTGTGTGAAAATAGAGCACTTTAAGTGCATTATGGAAGTGTGCCTTTTTTTCACCTGGGTTCTCTACCTTATTTTTCAAAATAAACATTTCTATTCTTTCTTTATGTTACTTTGACATTAAAACAGTTCTTTGGCTGATCCAGCAAGGGATAGCTGAAATTCTGTCACTATTTACTCATCCTCGAGTTGTTCCAAACCTTAAGTTTCTTTCTTCTGTTAAACACAAAAGTAGATATTTTGAAGAATGTTGATAACCAAACAGTTGCTGGTAGCCACTGGCTTTCATTTTTATTTTTAATACTATGGAAGTCAATGGCTGCCGGCAACTGTTTGATTACCAACATTCTCCAGAACATTCTTTTTTTGGGTGAACTGTCCCTTTAAGAAGAAAAAAAAATAGAAAGTCAGAGACTATAGTATAAATCAGTTTTTATGATATAACTGTAAAGACTGAACAACAAAATGCAAATCTGCTTTAAACGTCACATCAGTAGTAAACATTAAAACCTTGAATATGTCTTATTTACAAAAAGTGTCCATAAGTTATTAAACAGTGCTGTGCCATAGCAAACACAATCAGCGTGTTGCATGATGACGTTTCTAATCCCAGATATCAGTCATAACGACACACAGGAATGCTCTGAGCGATCTCTCAGTTGTGTTCAAACTCGTGTTCCTCTGGTGCGGAGCAGCTCTGTGCCAGCAGGTTCTGAACGTCCTCCTCGTCACTGAAGGGGTTTTCCTTATACTCCTGCTTCAGCCGCTCTCTGAACTGAACACACATCAAACATTAAGACAGAAGGTTTAGTGGGTCTTCAAACAGAACTCTGATTATTAGCTGTATTCATATTTCTAGAAACCATGTGGTAATCTGAATCACACATTTACACAAACATATTTACCCTATAAAGCCTACTGTATCATATTTGATGGCCTTCTAATTTATCAACACAATTAAAAACCCATGCATGTCTTCTGTCGTCTGATTGATAGTTTAGGGTTTTTGATGGTGTAATTGTACAAGCGTCCAGCTTCAGCTGCTGCTTCTCGTGTCAAATCTTGACTGATTTTTATCAAGTAAACCTCAGAATAATATCTCCAGATGAACACTTACTGGACTGAAGCAGCTCAGCTTTACTTGATTCTCCATCAATCATGTTTTAGAGTCTCAAATCTGATCCTCAGGATCTTTTGAGGAGCGTTTGTTTCCAGAAGCTTTACTTTCACTGTTCCTCAGCGGAGGAATGATCTTCACAAGCCTCCAGAACATCTCACATCTTCTGAGGAGCCTTTATTTCTTCAGCTCTCAATCACTGCATTATATGTTTGGAGCATTTCAATCTCATCTTACTGAGACAGATTACTGGAGATATAGAGCGACGACTGATATTTAGATCATTGTATGTCAGCATCTGCTGCACTGTTATAAAGCTCTCATTGATTTACAGCACAAGCATCAGAGTATCATCAGAAATATCAGCATCTGCAGCAAATTGCATATTTCTGCTCAGTTTGAGTCTCAGTTTTTTCCTCCGTTTTCTAACTATATCAGACTATATGAGCCAGAAAAGCCCGACAGATCAATTATGGCACTCAACATAAACACATATGCAAAAATTAGACTCAAACTGTTCTATTTCAAAAAATGACTATTTTTTTATATGTCAGGCTTCACAGGGTTATTTAGAAGGGCCACTGACATAATTCCAGGTCAGGTGATATGGCTGCCATGTTTGTGAAGATAGTGCCACACTATTTCCAGTCGTAAAGCGAGGAGGAGTCACCTGCTGTAGCTGGCTGGTCTCAAACTCCTGCAGCTGCTTCTGGAAGCCCATGTTTGGTGAAGCACAAGGTCTGGCCACCTTCACCGCAGCCAGAGCCTCCTGCCATCCCAGAGTCGTGACGGTCATGAGATACGCCACCACCAGCGTCACGCTGCGCGACACGCCGGCTAGACTGGAGAACACCAGACCAGAACGCCACAGTCAGCAATGCACAAGCTTCCTACTCACAGCTCGGTTGCCTTTAGAATCATTACAGGCCACTAGATTCGATGTTTGCTCGTACTGTAGGTTAGTGATCAGAACGAGCTCATACCCTAGTTAAAAATACATATACTAAAATGTATTTGAAATACATTTATTTCATGCTACAAATACATATTTACACTCTTAAAAATAAAGGTGCTTCACGATGCGAAGAACCTTTTTGTCTAAATGGTTCCAAAGAACCTTATAAAACAGATAGTTTCGGTGCTTGATTCTGATTGGCTGAGCCACGTTCGAAGCTGTTGTAAAAGGTTCTTCAGATTATAAAAAGGTAAGAAAGACATGGTTCTTTAAAGAACCTTTGACTGAACGCTTCTTTGTGGAACCAAAAATTCTTCTATGGCATCGCTGTGAAGATCCTTTTAAGCACCTTTATTGTTTAGAGTGTATGTGCTTAATAAAAATACCCTGCAATTGTACTTTTTGTACACTAAACTGGTATACGTAAAGTCTGATAAACTGCACTTTAATTTTGTGGAAGTAGTGCTGAGGTTCAGCTACGTAAAGATATACTGAAGTATATTGGATTGTGCTAAAGTGGAACTATTGCAAGAATGCTTCAGGTACATTTTAATTATCTCGCATTTAAAGACTGATATTATTCAATCCTCATCAATAATGACATTAAAACACATTTTAGGCTTAATATTAATTGTGCATTGTGCGCAAGCAGTACACCAAATAAAGTTTAATTCACATTTTTATATCACTAAGTCTCATAGAGCGATATGTCATGTTAATAGATCTGAACTATACTTAGTATGAGATAAATATATTTTAAATATACTACTTTTTTTACCAGGGTAACCCTACGCATTCAACTCAGGAGGAAGAAGGTGAGATTTCAGAGAAATACTACAGACCTCATGATGTTTTTGAGAATGGATTGAGTTGTTATAGTCTCATATCAAACACAGGCTCGTGTTTACTGTTGTTTTGGGAAGTTCAAAAATAGCCCACCCCCCTTGACACCTAGTTATCAGCTGTTCACATGGTCACACTGGGCTCGATCAAGGCTGGTATCTGGGTTGAGTGCACATTTAGCTTCCTCTTAAGGTAGAGTCGTGTATCTGGGTGCATGCAATCGTATGCATACCTAACATCGGTTCATGTATTGTGTAGATTTAATAACTGGAGGACAAATGAACCCCTCACTTACCAGTGCACCAGACAGCCCTCGCCTTTCAGTCGAGACTCGTGCATGAACTTAATGCTCTTCTCAAAATGCTGAACGCTGTGGAGGGCAAAGAGACCGATTATGTCAACTTCAGGCAATTCTGCAGAGTATCAATGTGAAGGATGCTGCAATGAAGCATAACCAATTTTGTGTCAAATTAAGGGTATGATTTTTATATTGCGGGTCAAAATGACCATAATTGGATTCAATACAATTCACAAAAAGTCACATCAAGAAAACCCACACCCACACACACACACAAAACATAATACATATCCTTTTTAAAACTGTTTTTAACAACTATTTTAAATTTTCCAAGAAATATGAATATTATAAAAAAAAAATAAAAAAAACATTTAAGCTGAAAATCTTGTTTATTTTATTTGTGTATGTGTCCTTTTGTGAAGCTCAAGCACTAGAGCATGGCACTACATTCTCAGTGAAATTACCATGCTTGAACTGTTAAAAATGTATGGACATTTCTTCACATTAAAGTATCTGCCAAATGTATAATTCTAAATGTAAATACTCCCATAGAGTAGTTGAGAAACTAACAAAGTATGGCTAAAAAAAAAGAGTCTGTGCAGCTGCGGTTAACTGTGAAATTGCAGGTCAGACTGATCCACGAGCATCATAATTGTAATAAACATTTTGCATGCACATACACACATCCCACAACACCTTTGCAGGCTTGTCCATAACCCTAAATGAGAAATAATAATAATAATAAATCCTAGTTAAATACAACTTTTTTCCAACAACTCGAGGAATAATGTATGAATGTGATGGGTTTGTTTTGTTTTTTTGATTGTTTATTCATTATAGAACAAAGCCAACCCACATGGCTAACAATAACTATAGCCTATACAAACCAGGATTTGCATTAAAAAAAAACAAAAGTTTATTCAGCCAAAATATATTTTCTAGAATGAACTGTTTTTGTTTTTAATGTGAATGTCAGTGGGTTCCAAAACAACTTTTGCTGTATGGAAAAAAAAACATTATTCAAAATATCTTCTTTTGTGTTCCACAGAAGAGAAAAAAAAACAGCATACAGGTTTGGAACGACGTGAGGGTGAGTGCATTCATTTTTGGGTGAATTATCCTGTTAACTGTGCAAAGAAAGCATTTCAGGGCCACTGTAGGAGCGTTTAGGTTTAGGTCTTCATTCAGACTGTGATGCTGACAGAGCGGTGGGAAGGTCGTAACCGGAGCAGTAAACACAGAATTACGAGACATCCTGCGTACATGATGTCTTCCAGATGCAGATTACTCTCTGCTCTACAACACACAGCTTTTACAGCTTCGGTATTTACTGCCTTAGCAGTTCCTGTCAAAAGTTTATTTAGGCTTGATGCTGATGCTCAATCGAGTGCGTATTGAAATGCTCAAAATATTTCAGTAAGCTGAGCCAGTATGAAACAGCGCTAAAACACTGGCTTAAATCCACAATTATTAATTAGCAATCCTATCCTCTCATCTGCACACTGAATCTAATCATTTACAAGTAGGCAAGTTTGTTATTAAAAATGTCTATGATTACTACAGTCCATACAAATTACAAACATATCTTAACTCTTGTTTGGAGAACTCTTTTTTTAGTGTATAAAGGTAAATTAAAGCCTAAATTAAATTGGTTCATTATACAAAGCGATCGTGTCTCTTCAGAAGGCTTGGATTAAGTCGCTTTATTCAAACGAATTATTTTACAATGCAACTTTTTGGAACATTTTGGTTGCATGGACTTTCAATGGATGAGCAAAATTATCTTCATGCATGTCTGAAGATGAATGAAAGTTTTACGGGTTTGGAACAACACAAAGGTGAGTGAATGATGAATCAATGTTTATTTCTGGATCGCTTTAACCCTTGTGTGTAAATACAGCCTTTGTTTTAATCAGGTTTTGTCCTCCTGTGTGCTTTTTTTTTAAGACATTGAGGCAGATTTTCATTTGTATGTATAGGCTTTATATAGTACTTCATGTTTAAATTAAAATGTTTTCAAATCAGTGTAAAAAAGTTTTACAATGCAACTTTTTGAAACATTTTGGTTGCATGGACTTTCAATGGATGAGCAAAATTATCTTCATGCATGTCTGAAGATGAATGAAAGTTTTACGGGTTTGGAACAACACAAAGGTGAGTGAATGATGAATCAATGTTTATTTCTGGATCGCTTTAACCCTTGTGTGTAAATACAGCCTTTGTTTTAATCAGGTTTTGTCCTCCTGTGTGCTTTTTTTTAAAGACATTGAGGCAGATTTTCATTTGTATGTATAGGCTTTATATAGTACTTCATGTTTAAATGAAAATGTTTTCAAATCAGTGTAAAAAAGCAGCAAGTTACCATTGTGACAACTTACCCCATATATCGATAGATTTAAACTATTCTACATTTTCAGATGCGACTCTACAGTCACAAAGATATTTTAGCGCAAAGAGAAACTAGAAAATCAATCTACACTCTTAACATTAAAGGTTCTTTATTGATATGAAGAGCCTTTAACATCCATGGAACCACAAAATGTTCTTTATTGTGGAAAAAGGTTCTTTAGTTTATTAAAATGATCCAAAAACCAGAGGTTCGGCATCAGTGGCCTCGGGTCTCGGGTAACTTAAAAAAAATGTGCTTTTTCCGAATGGACCCAATAAGATGGATCAAACTATCCTTGATGCACACTTGCACGTTTTGTGAGAAATACATCGCACATAGAAAGCCATACGGACTTGCTTCATTTCGCTGCGCGTTTTCTCTGTGTATGCATGAGGCAGGCAATAATATAAAGTAATAATAAATAAGCAAATAAATAAAAGAAAGTAATAGAGCAGCAGCCAAATCAAGTCAAAAATCAGAAACATATGTGACCCTGGAGCACAAAAGCAGTCGCTGGGGTATATTTGTAGCAATAGCCAACAATACATTGTATGGGTCAAAATTATAGATTTTTCTTTTATGCCAAAAATCATTAGGATATTAAGTAAAGATCATGTTCCGTGAAGCTATTTTGTAAATTCCCTACCGTAAATATATCAAAACGTAATTTTTGATTAGTAATATGCATTGCTAATAACTTCATTTGGACAACTTTAAAGATGATTTTCTCAATATTTAGATTTTTTTTCACCCTCAGATTGCAGATTTACAAATAGTTGTATCTCAGCCAAATATTGTCCGATCCTAACAAACCATACATCAATGGAAAGCTTGTTTATTCAGCTTTCAGATGATGTATAAATCTCAATTTAAAAAAATTTACCCTTATGACTGGTTTTGTGCTCCATGGTCACAAATTAGAAAAAAAAAAGCATTCGGGTCAAATTTTATCCGGTCCGTCTCGGGTCAGGTTTTCCTTTTAAAAAAAATAATTTATGCATGTCAGGTTCAGCTAAGAATTGATTTGGGTCAGGAATATTTTAGGACCCAACAAGACTTCACACTAAGAAAAAATCGTTCTTTTAATAACTGTTTTAAACACTGAACGGTTGTTTGAAGGACCCAGAATGTTTCTTCTATGAAAATCCCCTTTGGTACAGCTGTATTTTTAAGAGTGTAGATTCACTATAGATATTTCCAGGACTTTTACAGGCTTTAAAATAACAATTTTCCATGGGAAAAAAAACATGCACTACTAATCACTGACATTGTTGGGTTGACATCTTCCTGCTTAAACCTAATGGCTTGTGTGTGTGTGAGAATACATCCATACACACACAACTGAAATTGTTCCAAGAAATAAAACATTTTCGCCTTTCTATTTGTATATTCTGCTGCTTGCAAGAAAAAATACAGATTGTTGTTGGTTTGAAACTGTCCAGATAGTGGCTGTCAAGAAATCCAGAAATCTGACTGTGGTTTCTTCTTAAACCTTCTTCGTTTCCTCCAGAACATCCATCCTTTTGACAGGACCAGGATGAGAAAGGGCTGGGCTGGTCCAGTTTGGTTAAAGAGGGTCAGTTTCACATTACGCATGGTCGGGTTTCACAGGTTTGTAAGGGTGACAAGAGGGCTGATGGTAAAGGGGGGATAAAAATAAAGGCGTAGTGCGACCAAGGCATCACTGCAGAACCCAGCTCACAACTTCCTTCCTGCACCAAGAGAGCCACAAGAGGAAGTGTGTGTGTGTGTGCGTGTGTGTATGTGTGTGTGTGTG